ACAACCACTTTGCAAGGCAAATCTTCTTATTCCAATTTTATGGGTAAGGCTCAGTAGAACTAAGTGACTTCCCCAAGGTCTTTCGGTTAATAAGTGGCAGAGCAGAAATTCACCCCATGTCTGTCTGATGCAAAGCCCAAGCTTTTACTACTATGCTACACTTGCATGTAACTTTGTCAAAACAGCTGTCCAACTGGGAGCTTGAACCCCCAGTAGCCTCAGCATGACATGGAACCATCAGAGATCTCACTGCAAAGATTCTGATTCAGCCAAGCACTGTCCCCTCTGCATGCAGCTCTCATAACTGTGTGGGAGGTAGGAATTATCATCTTCATTTTAAAGAGGGTAAAACTGGAGCACAGAATACATGCAACTTATCCATGACATTGAAGTGGCACAGTGGGGCTTAAAACTTGGCAGTTAGCTATCTTGAGTTTTGATTTGCATTCCTTGGGCCTACAACCATTGAATAAAAAGGGCGATTTCTACTTAACTTGGTAGGCCACAATGCTTATGAATTTCAGGATTGTTTTTGTGGGGCAATTTTATGATAACTAATGAAACAATGGCCGTGAAATGAAGCAGGAAACAAAATTCCAAGGCATTAAAAATTTGCACAAAAGCAAATGGTCTTTATTCAGTAAAGGCTGCATTAAATAAAATCCACATAAATATATCTTAAATGAAAAAAAGCTTTCAAAAGAAGCTATGTTGCTTTCTTTCTGTGACATGGAATTATGAAAAAAAAAACTGTTAATGGAGAAAATTAAAGTTTAAGAAAAGCAACGCAGTTCTACCAATGACAGAAAAATTACTGCATGCTGTTGGTATGTCATCAGGCAAACTAACCACTCAACCTCCTCAGAACACTTCCAGAAATTCACACCAACACAGTGTATATGTAGCCTTTGTAAAGAAGTTCGAAAGGAAGGCAGAATTGATGTTAAGTAAAAATTTTCATTTTCAGTACTCTGCTTTGTTTTTCTTACTGCTTTTATTGTCTTAAACTGTGAGGCTGTCATCACTCTAAGCAGCTTCTTTAGTCCCCCTATTTGGAAAATAATTATATTTCACTCAGTGCAGACAATAAGACACCTTTTTGTGAAAGAAGGAGGAGGAGGAGGAAGAGCAGGTTGGGGGTGCCTGTTATTTCTCTGTTTCCCCTGGTGCTGTGTCGGTATCTGACAACTTCTTCAAACTTCTAAGAAGCACCCTAACCCCCACCATCACCACACATGCGGTACTAAATTTAACCTGAGAAAGAAACACCTAAATACGACTATCCATCTGGCTTTGTGGAAAAGAAGTCTAAATGAATCCCACGCGTAGATTCAGGGCCCCTGCTAGCCTCACCAGTAGCCTTAGCATGACATGGAACCATCCGAGATCTCACTGCAAAGATTCTGATTCAGCCAAGCACTGTCCCCTCTGCATGCAGCTCTCATAACTGTGTGGGAGGTAGGAATTATTAACTTCATTTTAAAGAGGATAAAACTGGAGCACAGAATACATGCAACTTATCCATGACCCTTAAGTGGCACAGTGGGGCTTAAAACTTGGCAGTTAGCTATCTTGAGTTAGCTAGCTAGCTGAGGAAAGTGGTAGGCAATGACAATTTTTATCCAGGACTTGCCATCTTCAATTTAAACTGCCTCTCTCCTTTTTTGTGCCGAGTGCCTATGTGGCATGTTCTGGCTGCCCAGGTACCCTGAATTTAGTACAGAGTTTCATTTTATAAGTGACACTCCATGCTCTGGTTTGGTTTGGCTTGGTTTGGTTTGGGGTTTTGTTGGGGTTTTTTTTGCTACCTGTCATCAAATATTACTCACATTTGATCATACTCTCTTGAGTTTAGCTGTCTATCTTCCCCAAACACAGTGAAAGTTCAATAGGGACCTTTGTCTGCTTTTTTCACTGGGGGACCCCAAGCACCTAGAATAGGGTCTGGCACATGGAATGAAAGAACAAATCCACCTATGTCATTATGTCAATAGCTACTAAAGGCTTAAGTCAGAGCTTGCAGAGTGAGATATGACCAACAGGAATGTACTGTTTGTCCTGCCCAATGTTTGAAACACTTTTTTTTCCAGTTGAAAACATCATTTAAAAATCATAGCTTCTCTGAAAAAGGTAGAAAACCTGGTAACACTGGCAAGTGCCTTCCCTCCCTCCCGTGGAGCCTGGCCTTCCTGCTCCCCTGCCACTCCCGTTTGGCTTCCCTGTACTGAGATGGAGCCAGTTCCAGTGTTGAGACGCTAGGGATCAAATTTGAGAATATTAGGGCATTGCACTTGGCCTACAATTACCGTGTTTGTTCGAGATGTTAGAATTTGCCTTTGTGACTCCAGTCTTTAAATATTTTTCTTCCAGATAATGTCTTTTTGTTTTGCTTGAAGACTTTAAAATGTATTAATAACATGCTTAGAAATTTCACACATTGTGGCAGGAGATGTATTTGAGGCGGGTGGAGCTTCCAGGTCACACCATGAAGGGAGCTACCTTTTCTTTCTGCATAAACCCTTTGCTTAGGGAAAATTGATATCTCCAGGTTCTCGTTTTCCTGAGGGCTCTTTCCTCAAAACCCTCAGAGGTTGTCCTATGTGCATTGTCTCTTAGTGATACCTCTTTTTATATTTGGATGCCATTTTTTCCCAGACAACCATGTTCATAGAGTCATTGCAAATTCCTATCTAATGCCTAATTCAGTTTGGAAAAGATACTTTTTGTCACAAATTTATATGCAATGACAACTCGACCACAGTTTACTTAACACGGCACAGGAGCAGCCCCTTAGAAACCATTTGGTGATGGAGAACAGCAAAGGTGCTCCAGGAAGATCACTCAGGCCTCGGAAGAATTTTCCTCCTGTTGACCATGCGCTTAATTTAGATTCAGTGGATAAAAACAAAACGCTAGTTTATTTCACATTTTGGGGAGCTTTGTACAGCCTATGAGAGACATAGGTCACTTCTCTGTATCTGATTGGCTAAGAACCAGACAAACTCACAGGAATTCATGCCGGGGGGAGGGGAGGGAAATAACACCGCAAAGATGGCCATGACTATGACTTTACCAAAAACGATGTAGTTATCAAAGCCAAATCATTTTAATATTACAAAGAAATCATTTTTGTTAGATGAAATATACTGAACTTAGAGAATACAGTATACAACTTTATCCTCACAATCTTCTTTAGCCTATATTCATGTTCTAAATATAAAGTTTTATGTTTAGGAAACCTAGTATCTCCTTTTTAAGCAACCTAACTTCAGTATATACACTTTTAAGCTAAAACAAGTTGTTTAATATGTAGGCACTTTCCATGTTTAAGGCACAATAGAAAACAAGCCAGGTGAACTTGCTTCTTTTCTGGAGCTTACATTCAGTTGTCATAAAAAAAAAAAAAAATAGAGTAAACCAATTAGTCTGTCAGGTAGATAAGGCTCTGGGGGAAAAAAGATGACCCGAGGAGGTAAGGGAGGGGAGGGGACCATGAGTAGTAAGAGATGATCTTTAATTTAGTGAGATCAGAGAAGGTCGCTGAGACCTGTTGGAGTGAGAGAGCCAGTCATGCAGAAACTGTGGGCAGGGTGCCCCAGGGAGGAGGACGGGCAAGGGCGCATGCTCAGGGTACTCAGGCGTCAGCAAGGTAGCCGCCAGCCTGGGAAGGAATGAGCGTGGAAAGGAGAAGGCGATGCCTCAGAGGAGCCGGAGGGCAGACTTGCAGGGCCTTCCAGGACACTGTGATTATGTCATAATTAAAGGTTATGTCAAGGGTGATGGCAAGCTGTGGGAAGCTTTTAAGCATAGGAGTGACTTGATAAAATTTACATTTTAAAACCAGTTGCGACATTGAGAATGATGAGGTGCTAGTAATACCTGTTACATCATCATTGAGCATATGTTATCTATTAAGCACTTTACATGTATCATCTCGTTTAATCTTTCTAATGCACAATTATGCATAACCTGTATTACGTACTATAATTCACTTACGTACTATGAGAATAGTCATTCACAGGACACATGAGGCAGTAACTACACAGTGGATCATGAGTAACTTTCCCACAGACACACAGGTAGTACATGGCAGAGCTAGGCTTAATGAAATAGTGGTATTTTAAAACCCTTTAATACCTTTCATGGAGTATCCCAATGTAGGTCCTAGATAAGATTGATTTTTTTTCTCATTCATTTTCCATCATTACAGCCTTAAATGAAAGGAATCTTAAGTTTCATACAGATTTTGATACCTATTTTTCTACATATTTTTAAACTATAGGAGTGGTATATATTATTATGTATAATAATATCTTCTGCTGAGAAAGAACATGTAAAAGAACCACCCAAAATGAAATCTCCAAATAAAATAGACCCTATAGAGCACAGGTTCCTAATCTGTAAATTCAGAATTGTATCTCAGTTTCACTGATTTCCTTAGTAACTTTAAGTATTTTTTGTCAATGCATTTAAAATCACTCTGAAAAAGGAGACCATAGACCTCTCCAGGTTGTCAAAGGGGACTGTGGGTATAGAGAGAGTGTGTGCAAGGATTCAATGAATATGTCTGAATCTGAGTGGAACTGCAAATAGTACTGGGTTTATTATGTCTGCGGGAGGAGGGAAAGTGCTGAGCACATACCAAGGCTCACAGAGAGGCTAGACATAGCCAGGGCGACCGCAGGAACCACCCTGGCCAGGGTTGTTCCGATTTATGCCTTTGTCCAGGTGTAATTACTAGTATCACCCCCTTCCACTCTCACAGGTGTCCTAGAAGAACAGAAATTAAATGCCCCCCTTTAGCCCTAGCTGTTGTCAAGAAAGCAGTGGTGGTAGAAGTAGTGAGCTGAGCGCCTTTTCCAGGATGTGTGGTAGGGGCTGCTAACCCCTGCACCTGGACTCATTTTGATAATGAATGGGTATAATCAAGGTTAGAATATTATGTTAAAAATATGATGGAAGAAAATAATGTTTTAATCATAATTATTTCTCTTTTACAGCCAAAAAAGAGCATAAAATGGAAGAAAGTCACTTGGAGAATGCACAGAAAAGGTAAGCAGCTCTGACATGGCCCCAGTTCTTTCTTTGACTAGCCACTGTATTATTATTATTATTATTCAGTATACTCCACATTGATGTGCAACCACAACCACTATCCATTTCCTGAACTTTTTCATTTTCTCCAAAGGCAACTCTGGACTTATTAAACCCTAAGTCCCCCATTTCCCTTCCCCAGCCCTTGGCAACCACCATTCTACTCTCTGCCTCTGTGACTTTGACTGCTCTAGTTACCTCATGTGAGTGGAATCATACAGTATTTTTCCTTTTGTGACTGGCTTATTTCATTGAGCATAATGTCTGACTAGCCATTCTTTTGGCCCCATTTGTTAAGACGTTGCTTTCATGAACAATAACAGTTTGTGGAGAGCTGGAATGAAAGCCCTGTAACAGGGCTTGGGAACAGTTTTCCTCAAGAAGCAAGAGATCACAAAAAAAAAAACAAAAAAAAAAAACAGGAGATCATCCAGAAGTGACTCACCTGCCTCACATGTCATCACACTCTTTTTGTCTTTTGCCTCTCCTCCATTGCTCTGCTCCTGAACCGCTTCATGGAAGCTAGGAACAGTGTGCTCCTTCTTAGTATTACGACTAGATTAAACCAATTATTACAAATGCCTAAGAGACTTACTATGTCTTTCCTCAGATCCTAGAGAATGTCATGGGGGGAAGAGGACTGACTCTGTTTGGAAAACTCCCCCAGAATCTGTCAGAAACCTCAGAGGTCTTCTCTTCACCTCTCCCCTGCCTCAAGCCTCTTGTTGACTCTTCTCTCTCTGACCAGACATCAGAGTGGTAGAGGCCAATAGTTTCCGGCTGTGATCCCTCACAGGGGCTTTTCTCTTAGTTGACCGAGTTAGTCAGTTTGGCTGTCCTTCCCTCTTAAAAGGGGGAGTGGGAATCTGCTAAGGCATTCCCATAGTCCAGCACGGAGAACTGAGATAAATTTTGCTGGCACAAGTCTAAAAGTACTAGAAATTAAATAAGAGATAAGAACAGGAAAAAGCATTTATGGGAAAATGAGCTTCACAAGTGTGTAAGGAAAAGAGTTAGTCCATTAAATGCAAGTGACCAAACAGTAGAAATGCACCCTTTTCCTCCTGAGAGTTCTGAAAGCCTGAAGGAGCCTGAAGACAGTGCCGTCGGCTCCATTTTGACAGGTACCAACATCTTGCCCTGCTTTCCACTATAATTGCCAATAAAATTTAAATGCAGATGAAAGGGAAGTTAGGGCAAATCCTGCGTTTTTCTAAGTGCAGACATGTTCTTGAATCATGATTATCATCTTCACACGATGATCTTTGAAAACCAAAACAATCCTGTGGTTGTGGTTTTAGATTTTTGTGCCCCTTTATTGGCCTTATCCCTGTAGAGAGCTTCCCTTCTTTGGCGTGTAAAAGTAGTACGTTTAAGAAGTCATCAGCATGCGGTGGATGTCAAATTTCTAATACTGCTCCGAGATTCTTGGGTAAGGAAAAGGGGGCCCACCTTAGAGGGGCCGAAGCTGCTGCTGCGCATTAGCCATGCTGAGGGGGGCCATAAATTCTGGTTGTCAGCATTTTCCGTGACTTTGTGGGGAAGGTAGTCTCGCTTTCATGTCATTCATGAAATATGTCCGATCCCATCTTTAATGTAGAAACCACAGTTGTTTGGTTACACTCTTTAAGGAGGTTGGTGGTCAGTGTTGCAATGTTTGTGTGAGATTTAGGAAATTCTTCTGTTTTATTCTCAAGAGAAACAGTTTACTCTGAGGCGAAGGAATATTTGCTTTTCCTAAGCAGTTTCTGAAGGCACGCATGTAAAACAGTAAGTGGGTGTGTTCCGCTCTGGCCTCTCGACACTGTAAAAGTAAAACCATTCAGTTGGCTGCGGGCTCTTTGATATGATCATTGTCTGTACTTTAAAATGTTTAGCTGAATTGAAAAGATACAAATCATACAAGGAATTGTAGCAGGGAGAAAAGGAGTCAAGGTATAGTTTAGGGTGAAATAAAAAAAGTTTTGTGAACTATAACATGATCAGAAATCCATCAACTTTTAGAATTTGGAAGCTAATTTAAGGTCAACGGCTGACAAATAGGAGTTTCAAAAAGCATGATTGCCCCTTTGTCTGTTGGAGAAAATTCTCCTCGCTGTTAAATATTGATTAATTTTCATGCCCAAACTTCAGAAGATTTTCAGTCCTCAGTCTTCTGTGAATCAAAAGGGAATTTTAAGGAAGAGAGTTTAGTGTAGGGAGGACAGCAGTCTAGACTTTATCAGATACACTGGCTGGTAGCTGTTCCTTGAACAAGAGAACAGCCCTGAAATCAAATAAGGCACATCCTCAGAGCAGCTTCCTTTCTGTCACCGTTGCGGAGTGCCAAAGCCAGGCCACCCTCCGGGACACTGTTTACTTTGGTTCTTCTGAAGAGGTTCACTTGCCTTCTTAGTTTCCAAAACACATAGGGGGAAAAATGCTGAAATCCTGTCTTTCCTTTAGTTTTCACCCACCTTAAGGGTAAGCAGGGCCTCACAGCTCCCCACAGGGAGAGATGGAGAGGGTGCATGGTTAGCTTCATTTTAGAGTTGGGAGGAGTGAGGCCCACAGGATGATGAGATGCTTTTCTCCAGCTCTGTGATGACCCACTGAACAATGCTATCATTCTCTGAAACTGTACCGGTATATGCAATATCTCAGTCTCACAGTCTAGACTCCAAAAGAAGGCCAGAGGTGTGGGGGTGACCCAAGAGGCACAGTGACTGGGGCTTCTGTGCTCCTCCCCATACCCTGCTGGGAAGCAGGAAGGCCATTGGTTCCACTGAGGACTCAGAGTGAAAGACTTTTCCTCTCTATTAATGCACGAATTATTATGTTTCTATATGGAAGGGGAGCATAAGGAAGAGAAAAAAATAACAATGTGCTCTGTTGGGGTTAATGCACGTTATATATGATACAGGGAGCAGCTGTGTCGAAAGTGGAAACCGGAAAAAAAATAACTTTTATGTCTTGAATTCTTGTGTCAGTGAGTGTGAGCCACAGAAAAGCAGAGAGGAAAAAGCGTTTCCCTGAGAATCAGGAGACCCCAGATATAGGCCCAATCTGCCAGTAAACAGGGACATTCAGTCTTTCCAGATCTCTGTTTTCTCATCTGTAAAATGAGAACTTCGGACTAGTTGACCTGTAATGTAAGTCTCTTCCAATTCTAAAGCCTCAGGACTCTATGAGAAAATCATGGCCTATTCCTGTTGGTCGCGTAACTCTCCACTTATGTATTTCCGTGCTACAGTAAGTATAATTTTCATTTTGAAGGAAATAAAACTATATGCTATAGAGTATACATTAGTTTTATCAGTGTTTTGTCTGCCACAGAATTAGAAGTCCTGTGTAGATGAAAGTGGACATTGCTACTTTCTTCCATTGCTGGTTTTGCACCAAAATATGTATGTTTGGTATTATGAGAGAGTCCCTTAAGAAATTACTGCAGTTATTGCCTTTCTCCACTTATACACTTCCAGTCTTTTAATAACTGGGAACCAAAATTCCCTGACCAGTAGTTTTAATTTGCATTAAAAACAGATTTATTATTTACAGAAGCACAAAGAATTTATGGGACTCAGAGCTGCAGCTCTAGCTTGGATCTCGCCTAATCATAGCCATGGAATCAATTAACAGTTCATCTGTGAAATGTGATAAAATCTTATGAGATACATATTGGCCAATAACTGAGAATGAGATGAAAGTATGCTCCGTAATAGTAACGGGGCTTCAGGGTTTTACAATCGCCATTGAATAGAGTTCCATTAGGGACTCAGTATTCAGGATGGCCGCAAAAAAATGCTGTGTCTGAACAAATGATAGAGCATTGAGTAGTAATAAACCCGGCCAGCCATTCCTGCTTTGATTAGTTTCCAACACCCTAGAAAAGAGAGCCATTTATTTAAGTGTTCTTGCTCATGGCAAATGAGCTTCTGGGGCTTGGGGTGGGTGGGGGTGGGTGGGTGGGTAGAAAGATTGAGTGCAGAGCTATAAATTGCTGCAAAGCTAGCGCCTCCAAGAAGGACTGCTTGGGAGGCCCAGGTAGTCTGGTGTGCAGCGAGCCTCCATGGGGCAGATCGGGAGGTTCTGGGTGATATGTGGCAATCTACTTTGCAAAACTTTGGACCCGAGTGGAGAACATCTATTAAGATCAAAGATGATTTTCCATCCAAATCTTGCAATGCCTTCAGTTCAAATATATATGAATTCATATATATATATATGAATTCTTATATTATATAAAGCTTTAAAATGTAGCCTTCCTAAAATCATAGAGGCTCAGTCTCTTATTTTACCCTTGAGAAAATTGAGTCAGATGCTGAGTGATTGGCCCCAGATTACAAAGCCAGCGGATGCCAAAATAAGGATAGAACAGTCTTGACTTTCCATGAAACCCTCACAGATTAATTATTCCCAATGGGCTCTCTGACTGACCACTGCTAATGCTACAGAATCATTATATGATCACTGCTCCATGTCATCATTAAACTTCAAATGAAGGGCAGGTACATGACATAGATTTGAGATAAAGAACAAACTCAAAAAGTTTTACCCTCCATATCCCATGGAATTATGCACGCTGGTTTTTATACGAATATGTTATGTCCTGGAGTATCCCAGTCAAGTTGAATTTCTTGGAAAATTGATTGGACCAAACAGGTTTTCTGGGGGTTAGGCTAAGCCACAGCAGCTCTGAGACAGAGTGGACAAGTGGGAAACTGCGCCCGGCGCCCCCTCTCCTCACCCTAATGAGTTTTGGTGTTGACAGCTTCTCACCCTGTACCTCACTCTGTTTTTTCCCCTGCCTCTTGCAGCTTTGACACGACAGTGGGGTATTTTGGGATGAAGCCAAAGTCTGGTGAGAAGGAGATCACTCCCAGCTACGTGTTTACTGTGTGGTACGAGTTCTGCAGTGACTTTAAGACGATTTGGAAACGGGAGAGTAAAAACATATCTAAAGAAAGGTAAGGTTCTGACGGGGTCATGCATACCCCCTTTGGGAGTCTCGGAAACTGCCTTCTCCAACCTAACAAAGTGGACACATTTCACACGTGTCAGTGTCGTCTTTCAGGCTGGGTGGACGTGAGGAAGGATTATTGCCTCAGGGCTCTTAGGGAGATTCGGGGGAGGCTTGCTGTCCGCACAAGCAGATACACTCACGTGGTCTGAGAAGTTACACTTTCTTAACCCCTTCCAATTACTAGCTAGTAAATGAAAGGGGAGCTGTGCTAATTTGCAACAGATTGCTTCTCTGTGTATTTTCATGTTGGCCCAGGCTAAATGAGGCAGCCTTGCTGTCGCAGACAGTACAAATAAAAGTGAATGCTTTTCCCATTAATATACTGAACTTGCATCAAAGGGAAATCTCTGAGACTCAGGCCACACTTAACACAGTGTTGAAGCCCCGCTCTGGATTTACAGCGCCACTTCTGACTCCTCGTATCCTGCTGAGGACATCAAACTGCCTGCCGCTCAGCCTCATTGCAGCCTCCTGATTTTATTAGTTGGGGGTAGAAGGAAAACCTCTGCTCTGAATGCAAGGAGAGTGTGTGTGTGTTCGTTCTTAGAAAGAGACTGAATTTGGCCCTGTTTATCAGAAAAAGAAAGCATTTGTGCTTGATCACTGTTTTGATCGGGTTGCCACTGCTCTACAAAGGGTGTCATGGATTTAAACTTCAAATGGGTCTTGTCACTACCCCTGCAGAACAGATGCATAAGAGTGTCATTCAAAGTGGAGTAGAAGGAGACTGAAAAATTCTACAAAATAAGGGAAATGGTTTATTCGATTATAGCATCTATGTCTCACTAATCCTTGAGACCTAAAATGCCTTAGTTCAGTACTTTGTAATCAGGAAATAGGTGTGTGCAGAATACACACACACATATAACACACTAATGTATTTCTCCTTAAAAAACTATTTTTTAAAAGCGATAAAAATTTAGAGATTTTTTTATCCAGTATTACTATTTAAATATTTTCTTGGGGAATTTTTTCAAAAGTCTGCTTTCTTTCTAAGTCAAAGAGCTTTAAAAATATTGATCAACATATCTTTCCACCACTTACCTCTTTGGGAACAGTGAGTACATCCATTATATAGAGAAATGGAAACAGAGAAGTAGTTAAGTGACATTTTTAAGAAAATAGATCATTGATAATAACATGACAAAAATCCTAAAAAGCCTGACACCCGACTCATTTGCTCCTGCCCTGCAATTGCTTATTTAACCCTTTCAAACCTCTGGGGAATTAATTCTACTTTGTGAGCTTCATAGAAAAGTGGCAGCACTGAGCTCCCCTTCCTCTCCCGACACCACACCTGAAGGCCAGGAAGCCAAGCAGTGCTCTCGGAAGGTATGGCCTTCACTTAAGATTTTGCACCTTACATTTTGAGTATAGTCCTTAGTAAATTTGTCCTTGAGGTTGGAGCCCTAAAAATTGTCCAAAAACCAAAAACAACAGAGAGGGTAATTAATTGCTTTTCACTATACTCTTCTTCTGTTGAAATATTCAAGTATATTCTAAATTAAAGAGATTTTTCCCCTACGCTTGAAATATTCAAGTGTATTTCAAATTAAAGAGGTTTTTTTCCCCTACTACTGAAGTCATACCAGATAAATTGGGGGTCTGCAGTGGTGGTGGCCTCCTTTAAAATGACATGTGCTCGGATTCCTACTCACAGTCATCTGCAGCGCTGCTTCCTGGGTGCAGCTGGTGAATTGCCCACTTCACACTCTGTAAACCAACACCTTTAAAGGGTCATGACTTCACAGGACCCTTTTCAGTTCTTCTCATTGAGCGATTTCAGGGGTCTCTTCATTCCAGCCGTGCTTTGCGAGATGGATCACCGAGGTTTCCAGCCTGAAACAACAACATCTCTGAAAGTTAATGGCGGCTCATAAAATATTTTTGGAAGCAGCTTGTTTACAAAAATCTATTTGCTAAGAAATGTTAGCACATTATGTTTATTACTGCTCAGCCAGTTAAATTGATTAATAGCCTGGATTTTTTTTTATGAAGTAAGAATTTTTTATAATTGTCCTCTGCCTGCTAAGGATTTTAGATTTTAAACTGTTAGAATCACGTATTATAAAGGTAAAACAAGCAAAATTAACTGCAATTCTCCTATTGTAATTAAAATGAGAAACAATGAGTACTTTGTTCTGACATCCAATTAATTGTGCTTGACATTATCATTCTTTATTATGCTATTCCCAGAAATACAATAAATTCCAACAACACTAAACATCAGGAGGTGGTAACATAACATAGTACAGAGTCATCCTCAAAAATAAAACTCAAATGAAAATCTGATAGCTTATAATTATGAGGAAAAAGAAAACAATAGTTTGGATCTCAGCAGAAGAAATTTCACCCACTTGATTTTTAGATATATTTGAAGCCCAACTAAAACTGCAGCGATTGGAAAAAATTAAGTATCAATATTAGTATTTTCAAAGGGACAGAATGACTTCTAAATGAAATGGAAGTATTGAAAAACTTAAGTACCTTAAGCCACTTACGGTCAATTTTATGTGTAGAGATTTTTTTACTTCTTGCTCTGCTTAGTATGGTTTCCTGAATACACGTTACCCCGATGCAAAATTGGTTGATGCAGCTCCACATCGGCATAACAACTGCCCCTCGTGAAACCTAGAACAATCTCTAAAAACACACAAATGACTTTATAAAAGTGTCCAGTGTTCTTGTGCCTTGTGAGTGAAAGATAAACCCTACCACTGAGCTAGTGTCAGGGCATAGTTGCTGTGTCTGAGGAGAAGAGACATGATATTTCACTAGATATATGGTTTACCTGCAGATTAACTATGCCCAGTAGAAGGGCAAGCTACTGTATGATGGTATATTGCTGGCATTAAACTTTCCTTGTCTTTTAAACCAATATGAGGCAAAATGGCAAATTTCTGTATTCAGGTACAAATCCAGAATGCCCCACTCCCTAGATCATCTTTCCGTGACTCACCCAGCCCTCATGCCACCCCTAGCACTAGACCGGATCCTCCAGTGAAATGTACCAGGCCCTTCTCTTCTTACTCACTGTCCCCCCCGCCCCCGCCTTATGAGTACAGGCAGTGAGTGCTCAGTAGTGTAAAAAAATACCTCTAGATAGAGAGCTAGAAACCAGCATTTTTATGCCATTAATTTGCTATGTGATCTTTAGTCAGTCACTTATTATTACCTGGTGAAACCAATGACATATCACATCCATAAAATGTACACATTGGGAGGAAGCAGAAACTAAATGTTTATGATGATCTCTTCTAGCTTGAAATCTCTATACACCTAGGAACTACTTTATTAATGTCCTGAAAAAACTGTGTATTTCATTTCTGAAATATTCCTTAACTTTAGTCTTGAGCTCATCGGAGATTACGTTAGGAGACATTTGAAGCCAATGTCTGGCAGTGAGTCGGGGGAGATTCAGGGCAGGGAGAATTTCCATTGCCCTTTGGGAACTGGTAAGTGTCTCTAGCTACCTGGCCTTACACCCCCAGTTCTTCCCCTAACATACTAATGTTGGTCTTAAAGACCTCATTTTTTTATTGTAAGTGGGCATGCAAAAAATTCTTTCCTCTGCCCACCTGTATCCAACATTGCATTTAGTGGCTTATTAAAGTTCATCAAGACTTTTATTCTCAGAAAGAGCTTTGCCTCAATTTTACCTTTTCATGCACTTTCGTATTTGTGCCCCTTTGTATGCAAACATTCAATGGATTTTTGGTAATACACATTTCTCCCACCTATTAAATCAGCAGACTATTCAAGCACATGCATAATTGCAAGGGGGTAACCTAATTTTTGTTGTTATTGCTGTTCTTTACTCATTTTCTGCTCTTTTATTTTACTGTTTAATTGCTCTGGGATATAGGACCCTTCCTTATGAAATATTCCACCATTTAGGATATCTTAAGACTATTTCCCACATATGACCACACATGCATACATAGAGTCCACAAACCACTACCACCCACAAAATGAGCTATGAATTTGCCAAAAGGTAAAGAAGTCCCAGAGGAGTCGTGACTCCAGGAATAAAGTCTTAGCAAATAATTCACTCCAAGCCAAAGCAAACTTTAAAAGTGCCATTTAAAAAAACCCATAATGGGTAAGTAATGAGTCAATAAGGAGCGTGGTAAATTTTATGTGAAATGCAAATAAGAAATTTTATTATACACATAGCTATAATTTACACCATTTTTTTTTTTAGTTCAGCTAAATACCAACAGGGTTCTTAAGTATATGATTTGCAGCTATTATGGTTAATTATGCAACTGCCATACCCTTGACAGCAGATAGTTCAGCGCTGTTGTGGGGTTGTCCCAAAAGCTGTTCTCAGAGCTCCCTGTTGCTCAGGCCACTGTAGGAGCAGGAATTGGGGACTTAGAGAGACCATCACTCAACCCACAAAGGAGCCATTAATTGCAGTGTACACGATGTAGGAATTCCTCTCTTTATACGAGAAAGTTATTCCTGGAAGAAGTTCCATGAACTAAAATTTTTATTTTTTGAAATCTGCTTTCCTGCTGACATCCATACGTGATCATTACAGTAACCTCTAACAAGTTAACTTTCTTTTTCTTAGCCCTCTGTTCTGTGGTTAAATGCTTTGTATACACTTAACTGCTAAGAAGCTTCATGTTTTAAGGGATCCCTTTATGAATACAAATCACCCTCTAGCTGACTAGCAAAACTTTGAATTTTCCCAAGTCACATTTTGAAGGCCATTCTGTACAAACCCATAAACAGGAAGTGTCCCAAAGAGCTAACTTATAAGCACCATTATCATAATCACAAAAAATAAAACCTGCTTATTTCCCAAGCAATAAATTTAAAACTACTTATGCAAAATTAAACCTATCCTGTGAATCAGGACAAAACATAATAGACTTTAAAATGGTAAGAATTATAAAATCATTGACTTAAAAAAAAAAGCGAAGACACTTTTTT